ATTTGTGTGGATTAACTAGCAGATTTGCCCCCGTGTGATAATGTCCTAGGACTCTTTAGGTTCTCCAGTGTGACACTGGTCAACTTCTGCTGGACATTGATCACAGAGTTGTGCTGGAGGACCTAGACATTCCTAGAGAGAACACTTCTGCAGGCATTTGTTGGTCTTTCCATGTAATGCTATAGTGAATTTCTGGCAGAACTTGAGTTGTGCTGGAGGACCTAGAGATTTCTAGAGGGGTATTCTCTCGGCTTAAAAGAAAGGGGGTTTTTTTATTTGCAATTTTTACAATGGAGGGACCATTGTATTAATTTGGAAAGAAAAATGTGTTTCATCCTCTTTGTGGATCTAACCATACTTCAAGATTCACTGTTCCTTGTTTCCTCACTGCAAATGGCTGCCTTATAAAAGCTAAACACTCTTACAGATTTGTGTGTGTGTGTGTGTGTGAGAGAGAGAGAAAGAATGAGAGACTGTTAGAAGGTTTAGACATGGTACTTCAACTACAACTTCCAGGGATGTCCTTGGTGTATTATGCTTGGCTTCCACAGAGCAACTGCTATTAGATTCAAGAGAAAGAGAGCACAATGATCTCTTCAGTGGGGCACTTGAGCAGCTGGCCGATAACTTAACTTCTAGTTTTACTTTACACTTCCAAAATTGTCCTGGGGATTGGATAGAAAACATATAAAAATATGACAGGAAAATGATGGATGAGCAGTCGCCAGTCTCATTCCAACCATACAAAATAAAACATCATGCTTGTGTGTTTTGATAGTACATTTAAAGGACAGAAATTAGCAGATGTTGATTTCATTCCACTCCATACAACATACCAAAACCCACAGAGGAATGTTTTGGAGATTGTAAAGAGGCTTTATCATGTCATGCATATGGAACTGGATGTTAAGAAGTGAAAACATTTTGAAGACAGCTTGCTTCTTGTCTGCATTTGGTTTTAAAGTTTTCCTCCACTACATGAAAACACAACCCAGTTCTGCCTAGTGCATCCAAGCTAAGAGTCAACACTTTTTCTTTGCCACCCAAAGTAATACTTTATGTCAGCAATTTTTTTTCAAATCTAAAGTAATGTTTTAGAAAATCTTGAGGAGAAGGGGGAAGGACAAACCATCCAATTTATCTGTTTCGGAGTTTCAGTCAATGATATTCATCCAACATGCATTTTCTTTGCTCACATGTATTATAAAAGAGCTACTAGTGGCCTGGGAGAAGAACCAAGGCTCAAATTGTGATGGAGGTGCTCATAGGCTACATAACCTTTTTCTGTCACAGAAATCTCTATACCTGCCACCAGGTTGCAGTGTAGGAGCACCTGGCTATACATGGGTGGAATGCAATTGTTTTTTTACCTTCAGTTAACCAAATTGGCATATGATAATTTATTTTTCTAGTTGCTCTACACAGTTTTTAGGGACAAGGTGTAGAGAGTTATGCAAGGGCAGAAGAGAATAAAGAGGAGTATTAGAAAGTGGTACATCCACTGGTTGGGATCCCTCTCTGGGTTATTATAGTATCCTGCACAATCTTAAAATCTAATGCAGATCTTGGTTGCATTCAGAATGAATGAAGTTGTGAGCCAAGTTAACTGAGTGCCAAGCATCCCATCAGCCTTATACTCTATGGCAGGGGTAGGCAACCTTTCCCCTTTAAGGGCTGAGGGACTTCAGCTCCCAGAATCCCAGGAGCTATTGGCCAACATGGGACTATTGGCCAACATGGCTGAGGCTTCTGGGAGCTGAAGTCCCTCGGCCCTTAAAGGGGAAAGGTTGCCTACCCCTGCTCTATGGTCTGTTGTTGCTGTGTGCCTTCAAGTCATTTCTGACCTATGGTGACCCTAAGGTGAACCCATCGGAGTTTTCTTGGCAAGATTTATTCAGAGGAGGTTTGCCATTGCCTTCCCTTGAGACTGAGAGCATGTGACTTGCCCAAGGTCACTCAGTGGGTTTCATGCCCAAGCAGGGAATCAAACCCTGGTTTCCAGAGTCATAGTCCAACAATCAAACCAATATGCCACTCATGTTTAATACAAAGTGTAGTTTTGCCTTGTTAACTTAAGGACAATATCACATTACATTGTTACATCACTATTAATTTCACTTTAACTGCTGTGGCTGCCTCCAGTAGAATCCTGGGATTTGCAGTTTATAGAGGAACATTTAGAATTCTCAATCAGAGAGCTCTTAGACCTCACTAAACTACAAACTCCATAATTCCACAGGTGGCAGTCATAGCAGATAAAGTCGAATAACAGCACTATAACAGTGTAGTATAACATAATTGCAAGGTAGGAGTGAAACCAAATCACCATATATACACAAAGAGGTGAGTGACTTCAAGATATAAAGCTTCAGATTTGCCTCCTTCAAATTAATTTGTTATGGGATAGATAATTCTGTCACATCTCTGCACTGGCTGTGGTTGGATTATTCAATCTTTCTTGATGTTGGTGTACAGTAAATTTTGTTGTTGCATCCCTTCAAGTGATTTCCAACTTATGGTATTCCTAAGGTGAACCTTTCATGGTATTTTCTGTGACTGAGAAGGTGTGATTTGCACAAGATCACCCAGTGGATTTCCATGGCCAAGTGGGGAACTGGACCCAGATCTGAAGAGTCCTAGTCCTATGCTCAAACCACTATACCATGATGGCTTTCTATAGTAAATTAATCATTCTCAAAGGAGAAAACCCATTCTGTCTCTCCATGAGTCACTGCTTTGGGTAGGCCTTTTCCCCATCAGGTCTGAGTATAGCACAATAGTTCACACAAAAACAAGATACAAGATAGCAATAGCAATAGCAAGTACATTTCTATACTGCTTATCAGTGCACTTAAACAATCCCTAAACAATTTGCAATTGCCTCCAACAAGCTGGGTACTCATTTTAGCAATCTACAGAAGGATGCAACCTACAGAAGGGGCCCTGCCAGGGATTGAACTCACAACCTTGTGACTGTGAATGGCTGCAGTACTAGCATTTAACCACTGTGCCACCATGGCTTTGATTCATTTGGCAATAAGCCAAGTTTATGCTAGATGCTAAGTTAAATGTATAGTATCCAACTATGTTATATTTTTATTTGCAAATACTTATATGGGACCTGATCTGACATGAATAGGGGAAAGTTAAACATCTCCCCTATTTACTTTACTTTACTTTACTTTACTTTACTTTACTTTACTTTAGTCCTGTATCCTACTTGTGAGTATAAAAGAAAAGACCTTAATAGCTGGGTGCTGTGTATTTCACATAGTGCCTAGTTTAATTCCCATTCTCACATTTTCATTCTGAAAATAAATATTTTTGACAATTTACAAATGTTTGCAAAATTTTATGCAATTTTAATTCAGAAAAATTGCCACTGTTATCAAGGGTTTCAGAAATACTGATGGTGTGTCAGACTATTTGACAGACCCGGGCTCACAGAATGAGACTAAGGGGGGGGGGGGTTGCAGACTGCCAGAAATAGTGCAAATTGAGTCCACTTTTAGGGTTAGGGTTGGGGTTAGGGAATCATGGGAACTGTATTTTTTTTGTGGCACCAGAGCTCTCTGACAGAGAAGGCTCAATGTCTCAGAAAAAAACAATTCCCACGATTCCCTAGCACTAACCTTAACCCTAAAAGTGGACTCAATTTGCACTATTTCTGGCAGTCTGCAACCCCCCTAAGAGAGGCCCTTCTCTTAGTCCCACCACCATCACAAGCACAGTTGGTGATGACATGAGAGAGGGTCTTCTTGGTGACTGCCCCTAGGAGAATAACTCCCCCCTCCCCTGTTCTCCTTCTGTGAGCAAGCTAAGTGCTTTTCATTCAGACAGGCTTTTAAAACATAACCTTTTGAAGACTGGCCTAGGAGATGCTGTATCATTTTAACTGAACTATTTTTGATAGCTTTTAAAACTTTTTAATTGCATTTTAATCTTTTAGTGTGTGATGTGCTTTAATTCTGTAATAGTTTAACTCTATTTTCATGGTCACTTTTTGTATGTTTTTTAATTGTGTTGTTCTTTTAAATTGTAAGTTGCTTTGTCCCAGGTTTGGGGAATTACACAAGCAAGTCTAGATACTGAAAATAGGGTTGGATGGATATTTACAGAACCTGCCTATTTTTCAGGTTTTTGGTCATACATCTATTCCATCCCAATTTTTTAAAAAACAAACATTCATATTTAAATTTACACATTTTTGTACATTTGTACATTTTTCACACAGTTCAGCTGAGAGCTACATTATATAATTTGGGGAAATAGCCAGTTTGAAGGCTGTGTTGAAAGTGTATTTGACAGGAAGCCCCAAACACCTACGTAAGTGTGTGAGAGAGGCTAAGAGTAGAGAATCTGTTCTAGGTAAAATGGATCCTATCTTATGATCACATCAAGATCCATTTTGTGTGACATGTTACTGTATTTCTTTGTGCTGATGAGACTTGTTATGGTCATCTAGAAAATCTCATGGAGTTTTCTTTCTTACAATGTTTGAGCTGTATTTGTCAGGTATAGATCAGTTTACGATGAAAAAAAACACAATCTGGATGTAGAGGAATATTTCTAAAGCACTACTTCTACTTCAGAAATAAGAAGTGCATCTACACTGTAGAAATAATGCAGTTTGATTCCACTTTAAGTGTTGTAGCTCCATTCTATGCAATCTTGCAATTTGTAGTTTTACAAAGTTTTGAGTCATCTGTTGGTGCGTTACAAATCCCAAGATTCTGTAGGATAAAGCTTTAGCAGTTAAAGTGGTGTCAAACTGCATTATTTATACAGTGTGGTTGCACCCAAGGGCAGGTAATTTGGAACAGAGAAAACTGGTGTGAAACCTTCTATGGCCCCTCTGTCTAAGCTTGGCCTTACACTTCAGATATCCTAACAGCATTGCAGTTCTGGGGAGAGTGACCTTGGGGGAATGGGGAAATTCCCATATTAGTTTTTAGGCATTGACTATCATTGACAAGGCTGCCACTTCCAATACTTTAGGTGTTTCCATGTAGACTTCTTGCCTGAAGCCCCAGAGAGCTACTGACAGTATGTGTTAAGAGTATTGAGCTGTTGATTTATTTATGATGGTGTTGTAGTAGCAGAGAATGCCAGGCATCCATCCATCAGCCACCTCCGACTCTGGAAACTGAGGCAAGCTGACTTCACCATCCTGGTATGCTGTTCCCTGCAGCTTCAAGAAGTTTGCCATTAATCCAGCCCCCCAACAGAGAAATCTTAATCATAAGGTTTTTATTTAAAAATTGCATAGTAAAGAAAAAAACTATTTACAAGTCCATCATGCAGGTTTGAAGGTCTTGAACACACACGCAGAAGTCCATGTAATAAATTGTAAGAACAAGGAAGCCTGTTTGCCAAACTCTAAACTCCTCCCATGGGGAGATACCTCCATAGACAATTTGTTTCTAACCCAGCCTCTAACCCAGCCTTTTGCTATGAGTCATGTGTCATGTGATTCTGGTTCTCAGACAACAAAGATGAGCTCATTGTTTATGTCTTGTCTGCCTGTGTTTCCAGACACTGACATTGTGTGAAATGTTTAAACTTTGCATCTGCAGGCCCAAAATCTTTCCATTAGAATTTTTCCCACATCTGTATATTTCCACTTTTGACTACATATCCCAAAGCTCCTAACATTCCCCTCTGAAATATATAGATGTGAGTAACAAAAAATATTTACAGTATTGAAACTTTCTCTAGCTCAATAGCTAGAACTGTGCACTTAAAGTGCCATTTCAATCAGATGTGACAGTTGTTCATGTCTTTCATTGGATAAAGCTTTTGTGAAAATGTCTGTGATATTGTTTCTGGTGTCAATATATTGCAATCGCACAACTCCATTCTGAATCAATTCTCTGTCATTCTGATATCTCACACAAATGTACTTGGTCCTGCATTTCAAATTCTCAGCTTCTGCCATTGCTATGCATGATTGTGAATCTTCATGAACCAAAATAGGCTTAGAACAATTTTGCCCTAAATCTTGAAGTAATTGCTTAATCCACTGTATCTCATTAACTATTTCAGACAAAGCTCCAAACTCTACCTCAGTTTTACTCAACACTACATAATTTTGTTTTCTGCTACGCCAAACAATTGGACTTTCACCAAATTTTATCAACAAACCTGTGACTGATTTTCAGTCATGTTACTGTGAAGCAAAAGAACTGTCCACAAAGCATTCAAGCTGAATCAAACTTCCATGTATCACAAGCTTCTTTTCTTTGCTACCTTTCAGGTACCTCATCTCACGTTTCACTGCAGTCCAATCCTCACCTTTAGGATTGCTTACCTTTCTGCTAAGTACACTGACTGCAAACACAATATCTGGCCTTGTGTTGTTAGCTATGAACATTAAGCTCCCAACAACACTTTTAAACAATTCTGGATTTTCAAACTCTTTTGTTGACTCACCACTGACATAACCAGTAGCCATTGGGCTTTTCATTACCTTAGCACTTTGAAGTCTACATTTCTCAATCAGCCTTTTTATCTTTTTCTGCTGACTTAACAAACATCTACCATCCTCAGTCCACTGAACCTCAAGTCCAAGGTAGGCTTTGAGAAAACCCAAATCCTTAATCACATTTTTTGCCAATTCTTTCTGTACTGTTTTAATTTCTTGTCCTGACTTTCCAGCCACACACAAGTCATCAACATAAATCACCAATGTAACATCACCTTTTGTGTAAACACACACATCAGCAATGCTGCATTTGTACCCTAATTTCACTAACTCCTCATGAATACAACAATTCGAACTTCTTGCACTCTGCTTCAAACCATACAAAGCCTTTTTCAACTTGT